AGTGTGCGCCTGCTAACCTGGAAACCAGTTGCGATTTTTCTCGGAAATTGCGGTTGCGTTGCGGTTTCCAGTTTCCTTGTTATGACATCATTCACCTCACTGGCTCCTATACTGGCAGCGAGTGATCAGTCACGTAGACATATCAGAACTATCAACGAGCGTTTACTTTTGAGGCTCTTGAGTGTTGCAACTTACCGGTATTCCTCTTAGCTTGTCATGCAAGGGTTTCAATACAATCAGTTGTTCTGCAGGAACCTTCTTAACATAACCGTTATCTTAATTATATTGACGTAATTTGTGTCTTTCCTGCTAGATTTTTTACAGGATACATATCTGTATAATTAACGAAGTTTTATCACGAATCCCTATCGTAAGATCATTTTTTTTTTCTTGGCACTACAGCCCCAGTGGGCCTAGGCCTACCTCCATGAACTACGTTCACTTCGTTTTTTTCTAGATCTTACACATACGGTATGACTCCTTGGGCGGGTGATCAGCTCGTCATAAGGCCTCTACCTGTAGACAAACACAGAAAAACGCACACAAATATCCATGCCCTGAGTGGGATTCGAACCGACGATCCCGGCTTCCGAGCGAGCGAAGACAGTGCACGCCTTAGACCGCTCGGCTACCGTGACCGGCGTCGTAAGGTCATTAGTCATCCATATCTTAATTTCAAGAGAAATACAGTTAAGAGATTTAGGTGTCTGTTCCCCTTAACAAAATATCAACATCAGCACTGGATCCTCAGACTACATAAAATAGAAAAGGTTGGGTGGTAACGAATAATGAATTAGGATATGCAAGGGAGCGGTCGTGGTCTAATTTGAAATACTAATCCAGCATTTCCCTGAAGAGACTGAGAAAACCACCAAATGTCTCAGGATAGTCTGTGTTTCGACCGAGACTGGAACTGAAGTCAGAAGTAATGTTATATTTAAGCATCCTGTTGCTTTGAGGTTCCATTTATAGTGTATACAATGTTCAGTCTATAATGCAACAGGAAATATTTATTCACAATTTAACACCACACATTGGTCGTTAAGATGTTATATAAAACTATTAAAATATTAATGTATATACGCCTTATAATAATGCATATGTATTATAATATTTTAATATTGCGGAACATTTGATAGACGTCAGAAGTGTTGGCGCTTGTGCAAATTTGCTCTGTGAAACTCATGAAAAAATGCCCATACTTAATTATACGTAAAAATATACAAATATATAGAGCTGCCTACATACATACACATATTGTACTTTACCTTACTTTTTGCCGAACGAAAGTTACAAAGTGGTGGCTTCTAAAGAGGGTGCAGACATATATATTTAAGCTAACATTTGTTCGCGAAAGGAAGATATGTTTATTACAGCTGTGTTAAGAAAAAATTACACGCTTCTTTATATAACTCTGGGTAATGAAGCTTTGTAAAGAAAACGGAAACATAAATTTTACATGTTCTGTGTATTGGGAAACAGCAGCACGGGGATAACGGCAGTTTTTTTGCTTATGCTCGGACATAGTAAGGTACAGGAGACAGGCTTGATATAATTAATATAATCTGATCTTGTAAATATAGCCGGCCCCTGTAATCAGATGGAAATTAGGAGGCGTAATACAAGAAATATAATTTAGGAGCAGACTGATTTCCATGAGGAGCGGAATAGCTCAGTCGGTATAGCGACTGGCTACGGGCTGGACGACCAAGGAATCGCAACTCGGGTCCCGGTGGGGGCAAGAATTTTCAATTCTCCATGTTTTCCACTCAGGCTCTGCGGCCCATCCAACCTCTTTCCCCAGGGGTAAAGTGGCAGGGGCATGAAGCTGACCACTCACCTCCATCTACTGCCGAGGTCAAGAAAATGTGGATCTGTACATTCACTCCCCCATGCGCCTTCATGGCGTAGTGCTTAATTAGTTAAGCACAGGGACAACTTTACCTGTACCTTTCCTGATCTCCATAAGTTATTACGGCAAGTTTCCGCAGAAAGTGCTGAGGACGCCTTAACAGCTCAGGCCTGCCAGTTCATTCTTAAGCCTCTATTAGATAAGCCTGCTCCACATTTCCTAGCAGTAGCTGTTGTGAAATTGCAATAACTGGATAATCGACACTAATTAGTTCCTGATGTGTCGATACAATACTTAGGTAGAAAATGTAATGCACACGAAGGCGACTATTGCAACTGTTTCAAGGACTCTCATTTATTATATTTAAAGGCAACTAAAAACAAGGGCAGGTTAGCCAAATCCGAAGTATGGCCGAAAGATCGTCCTGTAATTCAGACACAAACCCGAGGAAATAAATCGAAATCGTGATCCTAGAATTACTTTCACGGGTCTGTATAGTAAGAGGGAATAGAGTATATCCTACCGGTGCCTAAACTATACCACTGATAAGTTAAGGACAATAACCCTATGCAATTTTTTGGGGAAGTATTTTAATGTACTCCTACGATTCACTCTTAACAGCTTCATTCTCTCGGAGAAACCAGCATTCGTTTACTGGGCAAAGTTGCTTCGCTACATATTTCGACTTTCACGAGGTCATCATCAGGCGAATTTACAATAATTCAATCTGTTGTTGTTATTGTTGTTATTGGAGGGGGTGGGTTTCCCCATGCACCGCTACCAGTTTGATCTATTGTGCGTCCCCTTATGATCTTCTACCAGCCTCTATACCCTACCGGTAGTGGTGCTTACCATCAGTCCCTACTCAGCCAGCAAGGTCGGCCTCTACTGTCTCAGAGGTATCTCGATGCTTCCCCATCTACCAGAGGCGTTAGAGACTACTGTTGGGCGGGAAATATCCTTAATTTAGCTCAGTCGCCTCCTTTGGAGACATGAGGATTTTTATGTGCCGTAAAGCTACGACACGGGACCCACGGCTTAAAGTCCCTCCCGGAGGACTTGTTCCCTGAATTTTTCCGCCCTTAAAAATTCCACGACCTCCGCCGGGTTTGAACCCGCGTACCTTGAGTCATGAGGCGGGAACGTTACCCATAGACTACGGAGGCCGCTTAATTCAATCTGAGTTCTTGGGCTGTGTTTTCTTTAATATGAATCCATTTTAGTACAGTTTAACCTATGGCAATTATTGTATACATTCGAGCCACATGGATGGGAGCGGACTCTACGATACTCCTGCGGGTATAAAAGGTAAAAGGTAAAGTTGTCCCTGTGCTTATCTGATTAAGCACTACGACATGAAGGCGTATGGGGCAGTGGCTGTATAGATCCACATTTTCTTGACCTCGGCACTAGCTGGAGTTGCACGGTCAGCTTCGCACCCTTGTCGCTTTATCCGCTGGGAAAGAACTCCGGTACCCATTGGATAGGAGGCTGGGTTGGCCCCAGAACCGGTCTGGACGACGTGGAGAAGAGAAAATTCTTGACCCTACCGTCGTCCAATCATCCAATCCAAATCCCATTTATTAGTCACGACCACAAAACGTGACAATATGTTCCGACTCTAGAATTGTACTCATGTGCCTTAACTAGAGATTCTTAACAAAAAAAAACACCCAATATTAATCCTCAATATAAAAGAGAAACTACTGACACTGAAGAAATATAAAAAGGATATTAAACATTTTCTTTTTCTTCTATTTACAATATTAACAAAAAATGTTTCGGCCCTAAATGAACATCTTCAGGTGTCTTAATACGTATATTAAAATTGCTACACCGCATTATTATGCGCTAAAATCACACGCAGTAGATCATTTAATATCATAAAATAAAAATTTAACGCATAATAATGCAGTGTAGAAAGTTTAATAGATTAAGACCCCTGAAGATGGCCATCTAGGGCCGAAACATATTGTGTTAAAACTGTAAGTGGAAGAAAAAGGAACAATTTCCTGTATTATTGACGGACTGTGTTATACATACATAGACGTTTTAATTAGGTTTGCAGCAGGATACTTAAATACAGATATTAAATGTGTATGGATCCCAGCACACATGGGTATTGTACTTAATGAAACAGCAAATTCGTCAGCAAAGGAGAGTATTCGAAAAGTTGAAGTGCAGTACTTGATTCCTGTCACAGACTTGAAGAGCTATTGGTACACCAAACTGAGAACAGCAGCCGAGGACTGGTACAGAGAATCAGGAAAACAGAACGGATGTAAGTACTTTTGAGAACTACTACCAAAACAAGGGGAAACCTTGGTTCCGGAGATTCAAGTTTCGAAGAAAATTTATCATCTCAATAAATAGAATAAGAAGTGGACACTTTTGCCTAAAAGAAAACTCCATGGTTGTAGTCCGCAAGCGAACTATACCGACCGAGCGACCACCGCTTGTCGGCGAAGTTAGTGCCAACTTTTGCGTATAGAGAGTCACGTGGTCAGCGCAACGAATCCCCACTTCAGTTTTCTACCAGAGTGTATTATTCGACTTACATAAATGTGTGAATGTAGCAAAGCCGCAGAAACTATAAACCACAACCTATGATAGTGTAATTATTCGAGGAATTTTGAGTTCATGTGATAGATGACTTAATGAAACGTAAAATGTTTCACCCTGTTGCATCGAAGACATTCTGCACTGTATGTTACCACAAGCAGTAATCCTAATAGCGTGATATATCAACAGTATAGGCCTCGCCATAGCTGAAGCGGTTAGTCGCTGGATTCCTTCTCAGAGTACTTCAGTTTCCCCTGCCAATCTTTATTCCACCAAATTCGTCATCATCATGATCACTCGGGACAGGCTACAATAGGCCAATCAGTGGCCGCCATGCCGAGTGGATCCAGTTGGACTTCAGCCCCCACTTAGCGAATTTTTAATTTTTTTTCATTAACAGTATCCATATAACAATATAATTAGGTCGATACTACGATAATCCCAACCAGCACTGTAAAATTGTACGAGTAATTAGTTACATGTCACATGGGCTTTTCAGCTTCAATCGTGAGTGCTCATATAGAAGTTTGTGTTCCCTGTTGTTACTTGGTGACGCAATCGAATGAACAAGAGCTTGAAAGTGTCCTCTGGATAGGAGTGCCAGTCAGTAGCAAGAAGTCGGCGAAGGAAGTGCGAATCGTTTAGTGTTCTACGAGCGGTGTGGTGCGATTGTCGGTTTGTACTCAGCAAAGGTTAGTGGTCGTCATTCATTATCTGCTAGAAGCTGCTTGGCTAAACGTCCGCCCTGTTTATTTATTAATAAATAAAGTGAATTTAATGCCGTTAATTGGCCGCCCAGACAACAATAACATCCACAAACAAGACCATACTGACGTATCAACATTCGTTTACTGGCCAAGGTGTTGCGGGACATGTTTGGACCTTCACGAGATCATCATCAAGCACATTTACAAGAATTCAGTTTTAGTTCTTGACTTTTGTTTTTAATATTGACCCACTTTTATTACAATTTATTTCATTTTGATAGCTAATACTACCATTTTGTTAAATATAATTAACGAATACTCACAAAAATACTCCAATACTATGTGGTTTTTAATTAAGTTTAAGATTTTGATACTAACATATACTTCGGATTTAATATTAATAGAGTTATTAATGTAGTTTTGTCGTTAAAACACAATTTAATTTTAAAATTTTAAATTAACTACTCGAATTATGCTTTGATTTAGGGAGTTTGTTCTAAATAGGTTTAAAAGTAGAAGCAGGTTTTTAGGTGTTGTCAGGTTATTTGTTGTGGTCGTAGTTAAAAATGATAAAGCTGACCCTGCAACAGGCCGTGGAGACGTATAGGTTGGTGGGACGTAGAGGATACTACATTTTCTAGACAGTCGGCTCACATATGCCGCTAAGGTTGTCAGCCTTACGAGCTGGCTGCCCTTTACCTCCAGAAGATTCCTGGTATTAATTTCTGTCATGGCGAGGGCACACCAAGAAACTGGCAACTGCAACGCAACAGCAATTTCCGAGAAAAATCGCAACTGGTTTCCAGGTTAGCAGGCGCACACTGAGGAAACTTATAAATGAGTGGTTGCTCACACCATCTTAAGTAGGTGTGTTCGTCCGACGAAATGTATGATTGTATTTTTTAATTTCGTGCATTCACCTTCTGCAATGGAAGATAATAACACTGACCCTGTCATAGTATGGTGGTAGTTGAGACCAGCTGAGACGGCGTAAGAAAAGAGGACGACGACCATAATGAAAATATTGGGATGTTAATTAATTTGTTTTAATTAAGATAAATTTACTTTAATCAGGAAATATCGCGTTCACACGCAATACGAAATTTTCACACACAGTGCAACAATTTTAGCAAGATAGAAGATACTTGATGATGTCAGTATATACCCGAACCATGTAATGTGGAAGAAGGTTGAGTATATAATAAGTCGTATTTAAGACCGAAATAAATTTTATGATATGTAGGACAGCTTCAACGAAGAACTAGAATGTGTATTCGATAAATTCCCTAAATACAATACGAAAATGTTGTTCAGAGATATCAGTGTCAAAGTAGGTAAGGAAAACCTTCTCAAACCAGCAATTTGAAATGAGATTTTGCACTAAATTAGTATGTTGATGGCGTTAGGGCAGGACTGAATGAATGAGCGCATGCATGCATAAAGGATGCACCACAGTTATCTCACCCATGCACTGATACCTTCGATGATCTACTATCTAGTTACCCCTTTATCAATCCTGCAGTTTGAATGAGATGTAGGGCTTTGTGTATAGAGGCGTTATAGTGGTCACTTGGTTCCATAAAGGACTGGCCCAAATGAATAATCTTAAGTATGCTATGGTCTCACAGTCACATAGGATATGTGTGGCCCTTGCTTACTTTTCACAAATAGGGTTATCTGTAAGTCCAAATTTGAAGATGTGTTCTCTTAGGTGACAGTGTCCTATAAATAGTCCTACCACCCATCTTAATTGGTCTGTGTTTAACTTCAAAAATCCTTCGCTCTTCTGACAGAACCCTCGTATAAGACCTTTTGCCTGTTTGAGTCCAGTTAAGGATTCGCAATATTTTTGATAATTTCTGTTTGTCCAGTCCCTGATCGCTTTCTTGGCATCTTCTACTAAGATGCCGCAAAGGCTGCGCCATAGCTGAAGCGATTAGTTGCTGGCTTCCCACCGCGGCGGCCCGGGTTCGATTCCGGGTATGGTCAAGTGGGATTTGTGGTGGACAAAGTGGCGCTGGGGCGGGTTTTCTCCGATACTTCGGTTTACCCTGCCAATCTTCATTCCACCAAATTCTCCATCATCATAATCACCCGGGCAGGTTCAATAGACCAATCAGTGGCCGCCGTTCCGAGTGGACCCAGCTGGACTCCACCCCCTTCTAAGCAAATTAAAAAAAATGCTGCAAGCTGGTTCAGGTCCCATGAGCGGATGTTCAGATCCAATCCTTACCAGTTCACCTTCCATTACATTACCAGAAATACCCTATGACCAGACACCCATATCAGTTGAACCCTGTTATGTTCGACCCGTTGTGTGAGGGATTGATAGCAGTCCCAGACCAGTTCTGAGGTAATCTGGTGGTTGCCAAGAGCCTTAATTGCAGCTTGACTATCTGATAGATTATAGGTATTTTTTGCGTAATTCCTATCTATGTCCTCAATCAAGGACATCGTATCTATCTTGCTCATCATATGTTAACAACGGCAGCACTTGTACGGTCGTAAGCTTAACAGAAGCCAATTTTAAGCCTCTATGCTTGGCTTCGCCTTGTTCTATGATGCGAATATGTTCAACGTCATGATTTCAGAGTAAGAGCCAAAGTCAGGGTTAGTTTACGACTGGCGGTTTACCGCCAGTTAGTTCGTCTTGGTGACAAGCCCCTTGCGACGCACGACCAGAATTCTTATTCTCTAACTGAACATTTGCAGTTATAGTCCTTATGTAACATCCTCTCTGTGGAGAGGATGGGTCTGTCATTTACAATTGCTGCTGGTCCTCGCCAGCGCAGTCATTCTCAAGTACGAGTCCCGTGGAACACATGACCATATTTTACTGTCTCAGATTCGAGGCTCTCTTCTGTCTGTAACTTTTATTATATATCCTCCGCATCGACCGCATAGAAAACAATCTCTATTGTTGTAGAGGAGTGTTTGCCACGACGTGGCATAGAAAAAGTCGCGGCGCAGACCGCATAGAAAACGCCGTACTTACATTGTTGCATGCGTGTATTTTGCGGACGTTACCTAGCAAGGCCGATGTTTATAGATTCACTGCTTAGCAACGGCTCTATACGCTACAATATGTAGACCTTACGTAAGAGCCTGAAATTCCAGCTGCATTGAAATGCCTCTGATAGGCTACATTTTTCGGAAACGCACTGAGGGAAACTGATAAACAGATACATAAACTGAGAACACGACTGAATGAGAAAAATAGCTGCAAAGCGTATGCTTATAAAGCCAATCGCCTTTCTAATTCGTCATATCGTACTAGTTCGAATTTCTCAGAAATTCCATGTTGCTTAAAATGTTTCTTGTTAAAATACATGCACGTTTTAAATGATTTTAAAATCAAACTAGGAAACAAATGGACAGGCAAGCCCTTTCCGGTAAGGCTGTCTATTTCTTTACGGATTGTAAGTACATTGAGTATGAGGGGTGAGCCCTACAAACCGGCCCTAGTACTGCGACCTTCAATGATCTATTGTGCTTCCCCTTTGGATTAACCCTTTATTAATCCCACAATTCCAATGAAATGTAGGACTTTATTTATTGGGGCGACATAAAAGTCACTTGGTTCCATGAAGAACTGACCCGTGTGGCGATATCTTAGGTAAGCTGTAGCCTCACAGTCACATAAGATGTGTGTGGCTGATTCATCTTCTTGTAGGCACCTTTCACAAATTGGTTCGTCTGTCAGTCCCAGTTTGAAAAGGTGTCCTTTTAGGTAATATCCTATCACACATCTTAGTTGGTTTCTGTTTAATTTTAACAGGTCCCTCGTTCTTTTGGCAGAGGGTCCTGTTATAAATCTTTTTGCCTGTTTGAGTCCAGTTGTGGATTCCCAGTTTTGTGTGTGTGTGTGTGTGTGTGATTTCTCTTAGTCCAGTCCCTGATCGCTTTCTTGGCAACTCCAGTTGAGATGCCGCAAGCTGGTTCAGGTCCTATAAATGGCTGTTCATGTCTGTTCTTGCCAGTTCATCTGCGGTTTCATTCCCTGCAATACCCTCATAACCTAGCAACCATATCAGTTGAACTCTGTTATGTGTGGCCAGTTGTGTGAGGGATTGGTAGCAATCCGAAACCAATTTTGAAGTGATTTGGTGTGTACCAAGTGCTATTATTGCAGCTTTACTATCTGATAGAATATAGATGTTCCTATTTTTGTAGTTTCTATCTAATTCTCAACTGCGCATGCCTTAATGGCATACGCTTCTGCCTGGTTGTAAGTACGTTACATAAACATTAACTCTTATTCTATCCTGATCTGGAGTAATGTAACTGTCACGTGGAGGAAAACAAACGCGACAATTTCACGTAGCTTAACTGGGAGAACACCGGAACGCAAACACGTCCGCGAAGAAACAGAGTCCGCACAGCAGTTTGGCTTCCTTCAACAACAGTTCACAACCCATAAGAATGACACATGAAATTCGTGATGCTTTTCAATGTAAAGAGGCCCTCACTGGCCTATGTTGGGATATTTCAAAGGTTTTCTAAGGAATGTGACATGATAGTTTCACACTGAATTTTGTTTTACATGTAACGTTCGAGGCAATATAATTCAACCTCTAGCTTCATATAATAAAAGAAGTCATACAGGTTACACACCTGAGAACACTGCAATTTCTCCCATACATCATATATTCTGTGGTGTCCCTCAGAGATCTGTTCTTCACCCTGCATTTTTTATTATAGCTATACGTAAATCGGATTCCTGACATTCGTGACTTATTCACTCATGACACGGCACGTCTTGCCGAAGACTACCAACGCGATTAGCAGTACAGAAACTTCAGTTACACACATTACTTCTGGAGTAGTGATATGTATACAAAATTGAAATTTTCCATTCATTGCATTCATTCATTCATCTGTAATCTGTCAAGACGACATGTCCACAGTCTCTTCCAAAACAGTTCCTCCACTTGATGCGATCTAGAGCTTTCTCCTTCAAATGAAAAT